GTGTTGAGATATATAGTCCCACATTGGTTGTATGTGCAACTAATGTGGAGTTTATAAGACCTTGAGCACTCCCACCCTTTGAGCTAGCTTTTGGGGTGGTGTATCCCAAGGTTCTTTACATCTTTGAAACCCAATTCAACAGAGTGAGTGTTCAACATCCTCATACAACTGAGATATCATGTTCAAGTTTGTTATCACCAGAGGAGTAGCGGCATCTCAGCGCAACCACAATGCTTTTGCTTCTTTCAATTTCTCTCGGTGTGTTCATTCATTACCCTTTGCCACAGTAGAAGCAGAAGAGATATCAGGTTCTAGGCCTGCTGAAGTTCTGAACTTGGTGCAGGGTAAATGGGTCGGATCTTCAAACTGGAGTACAGTTGTGGATCCCTTAAATGGAGACTCATTTATCAAAGTTGCGGAAGTTGATGGATCAGGCATTCAGCCCTTCGTGAAAAGCTTGTACGGCTGTCCAAAACATGGTGTGCACTATAATGACCCTAACTGGTAAATCTTAGTTAGAGATTTAATTTAAGGATTTAAATGCCATAATTAGATTCAGTGAGCGATTTCGAGTATTTTGACTGTAATCATGACTATGTTATGAACAGTGCGTTCTGCCGGAGAATTTACAGTTTTGTGAATTAACCGGTAGAGCTTAAAAGAGCAAAATAATGTTAGAGACATAATTTGATAATTCTGACGACAAATATGAGTTCAGAACGAAAAATTGTATAGTCTGGCACTTTCCGTGAAAATCTCGCGAATAGTGTTTCTACCGGGTATTTTGTACTGCTGTTTAAGCAACCGGTAGAGTCCAGAAATAAATAATTGATGAAGTAAGAATAAGAAAGTCCAATATATGCCAAGCAAGTCAATATAGGCCCAAGAAAATGATAAGTTTATAAGTGTTAAGTTTCAGAATTAAATAAAGTACAGTTAGTGGTTCACAGTGCATTTCGTTAAAAACGGTGCAAAAACCATACTGTGAATTATAAATATTGTTCCTTAGAAAATAACAGTTAATGTAAATGACTTTAGAAAAATAAAAATATATTTGTAGCTTTGAGTTAGCTCCGGGTTAGTTTAAGTGAAAATACGCGAAAGAAAAATACCCGGGTAAAAGGCCACATGTGCTCACCTTTTTAAGTCACTTAAGCTTCATTTCCAAATGAAATTCTCTCTCCTCTCCTGACTCGAAACCCGAGCTGCACCATGAGAAGGGGGGTTAGGGTATTTTTTTTGATTTTGTTGATTCTCTTTGAATCTTCCACCAAATCTAATGACCCACCACATAAAATCGATTAGGAACTACTCAATGAATCCATTGCACCTATCCATTTGAGCTATAGTTGAGTGTGTGAAGAGTTATTCCTCCTCTCATTTTCGAGTTACTATTCATTGGAGGAGAAAAAGTGAGTTTTTGATGGAGCTTGGCTTGGAGATTGCTCTCTAGGCTTTGTACAAGTGTTTAGAGGTAAGAAACCTCTATTTCCATGATATTATTTTGATGATTTAAGTTATGAAATATATGAGCATGTTGTGAGTGGGGAATAATTGATGTTAGAATGTGAAATTTATGATAGATTATTGTTGTTTAGGAAGTTATAGTGTTGAGTAAGCATCCACATGTGATATAAAAATTTAAAAGCCCTATTGCATTTTCCTCCTAGGTTTCGGCCATCATGGAGTGAGTAGGAGTTATGGTGGAAAAAAATTATATTATGTATTGTGAAGGTATAGTGTGTTGGAAATGAGTGAAAATGGATGAGTTAGTAAGAATGCCTAAGTAAAAAGGACTTGGTGTCTAAACTCAAAATAGGAATTTAGTGGAAGCATTCCTAGGTGTTTGCAAGTTGTAATGAAGTAACGAAAATGTATTGTAAAAGAGAAGGATCTTTGGAAATTCCCCTTATAGGATTCGACCTATAGGGTATTTAGGGATATATTTTGTACATTTTATTTTAAATAAAATGTGTTGTAATAAATTGTATAAAAGTGATGAGTTTTGAAGAAAAGTAGCATGATTTATGTTGAAAATTCCTAAGGGAATGGTTGATTAAATTAAAGAACACCAACGGTTATAAAGGGGTCTAGACTTGTGTATTGGCATAGGATTGGCAAAAATGCAAAGAAAGGAAAATAAGCGATAAAATGTATGCTTATGAAATAATTATGGTATTGCATCATTTTATTGATGCATTGTAAATTATTTTCTAGGTGTGCCTAGGGATTGAGAAGGATCGGAAATCTCTTGAAGTGATAAAAGTAACTTGTTCCACAAGTAAGCGTATTGGTAAAGCTTCAAGAGGTAAGCTCTATGTTTAAGGAGTCTTTTCCTGCTTGAGTGCTCCACCATGGTTAGTGAACTATGGTTGGACTGTATGACTGTGATTTAGATGCTTTGTATAGATGCATTCATATAGAGTTATTTGATAACATGATATGTTTTGCTCTGATATGACTTCTGTAATATGATTTCTGTAACAATCTCTGGTCATTGATTGTATAGTACCCAGATGTCTGCTTTGGGGTCCTCCCTCGGGACTGATGGTGTACGCCTCTGATATGTCTGGTTCCGCTTTGGGGTCCTCCCTCGGGAACACGTGCGTTGATTTCCGCTTGGGGTCCTCCCTTGGGAATGACGGCGCACATCTCTGATATGATATGGATATATGCTCTGTTCTGTTATGATATCTGTTATATGTTGTATTTGTATACTCTGTATCTGACTTTCATGCAGGAGTGAGCCAGGGGTATGGAGAATTCTCTATAAACCTGGAGCTTATTGAGATTTGTAATCTCACCCCTCGTTGGGGACATATTTTCAGGTGCCCAGATTCCCGGTGAGTCCTCACTAGGCAGGGACGCGACACGTGGCTGAGGCAGTTGACAGATTGGATTTTGAGTGGCCGTAGGCTACTACTTTTTGGAAGTATATTAATGTCATTTTGTATTTCCGCCTTTGATGGATCATGACATTGATCCTTTATTTTGTATATGGCCTGTATATGTTTTGTACATGTATGTCAGTTTGATGCATGTACATTTGAGTATTCAGGAACGTTATATGATGATGTAGTATTCAGATAGGTTTACGTTTTGCTGGCATGTTGTTAGATATAGTGGCACGGAGCCATGTTATGCATGCGCCCATGTATGGGTATTTGATTATATTTGGATATCTGGTATTTCTGAATTGATATGTTGTATAAACTGTTTATCAGGAAATGCTTCTGAGTGGGATTGGAAAATCCCCAGTTGTCCGATTTATAAAGGAAACTCTGCCCGATTTTCGTTTACGCCGAGTAAGAATTAAGTTAGAAAAAGAAAAAGTTAGCTCATATTTTCGTAAGTTAAGTCTTCCGCTGTTTCTGTTTATATCATGTGTATGTTAATTGAACCGGCTCGAGACGGGGATGTTACATGCACAATCCTTTTAAGGCACCAGAGAGATATCTTATGCTTGGAGATGTATCTACTAAGGCAGCTCACATGTTATCGCTTCCTAAGGTTTCAGATTTCTTTACAAGGCTAATTCAAAGAGTTTCTCCAAAGAGTTACCAGCAGGCTTTTGGGGAAGTTTATGTGACACAGAAGTTTCTAGAGAATTTCTGCGGAGACCAGGTTCGATTCCTGGCAAGGTCTTTTGCAGTGCCCGGTAATCATCTTGGACAGCAAAGTCATGGTTTTCGTTGGCCATATGGCCCGGTGGCAATTATTACTCCCTTTAATTTTCCGTTAGAGATTCCAGTACTTCAATTGATGGGTGCACTTTATATGGGCAACAAACCAACCCTTAAAGTCGATAGCAAGGTGAGCATTGTTATGGAGCAAATGTTGCGCCTGCTTCATACATGTGGTCTACCTGTAGAAGATGTAGACTTCATAAATTCTGATGGAATGACAATGAACAAGCTGTTGCAAGAGGCAAATCCACGAATGACACTTTTTACTGGTAGTTCAAGAGTGGCAGAGAAGTTGGCAGTTGATTTGAGTGGCCGTGTTAAATTGGAAGATGCTGGATTTGACTGGAAAATACTGGGTCCTGATGTCCGTCAGGAAGATTACGTTGCATGGGTATGTGACCAGGATGCATACGCATGCAGTGGTCAGAAGTGCTCAGCACAGTCATTGTTATTTATGCACGAGAACTGGTCTAATACTTCCTTGATATCTAAGATGAAAGATCTTGCTGACAGAAGAAAGCTAGAGGACTTGACAATTGGCCCAGTACTCACTTTTATCACCGATTCAATGCTAGAACACATGAATAAATTACTTGAGATACCTGGATCAAAGCTGCTCTTTGGCGGTCAGCCTCTGGAGGACCATTCAATTCCATCTATTTATGGTGTTATTAAACCCACTGCCATTTATGTTCCTCTTGAGGAAATTATGAAGGATAAGAATTTCGAACTTGTGACTAAAGAAATTTTCGGACCTTTTCAGGTTATTACTGACTACAAAAGCAGTCAACTATCAATTGTGTTGGATGCTTTGGAAAGATTGCATGCGCATTTAACTGCTGCTGTAGTTTCAAATGATCCTCTCTTTTTACAGGAAGTCATTGGCAACACAGTTAATGGTACTACTTATGCTGGTCTAAGAGCAAGGACAACTGGAGCTCCACAGAATCATTGGTTTGGACCTGCTGGGGACCCTAGGTATAATAACCCTTACTAGTAATTGTGGATATAATATCGAAGAATAATTAGAAGTAAAAGAAATAAAGTCACATTTGGTGAAAAAGGAGTTAAAATGACAGTTAAGGAGTAAAAATGCGGGTAAATAAAGTTACCCGAAAGTAAAAAGTAAAATTATAAATTTTAGCATAAAAATATTCTGGACTAGTGTGCAAAGTTTAGTAATGAATGGAGGTGTGTAGATAGATAAACCTTTACCCAGTTAAAATAAGTTAACTTTATAAAAGCCATAACTCCCTTTAAAGTTCTCTCTCATGCGTTGCTTTTCTTCATTCTTCTCGTCATTCCCGTGGTTGTCTCACATGGAAGGTTTGACTTAGGTTTCATTTTGTTTTCTTTCTTCCTTCCATTCTCACTCATTTGATCATCAAAAAGCTTTATGCTACACATGAAACTCATAGGAAAAGGTCCAATGAATCCATTCCCACCATTAGTTTGAACTACCATTGTTTGTGTGAGGAGATATTCTCTTCCCCCTTTGCGTGGCACTATTCATCAAGAAGGCAAAATGGAGCTTTTGATGGAGATTCTCTTGGTGAATGTCTTCTAGGTTTTGGATAGGTGATTAGAGGTAACAAAACTCTAATCCTATGATTTTATTTTGTGATCTATGTTTTGAATTTGTGAGCATGTGTGGGTGAGAAAGAAAGTAGTATAAAACTTGAAAATTATGATGGCTTGTTTTGTATAGGAAGTCTTAGTGTAGAAGAGAAACATCAACATGTGTTAAATGAAGAAAAATTCCCTTGGTTTGCACTCCCCTAAGTTCGGCCATGATAGGTTGAATAGGGACCATTGGGCAAAAAATTTATATGATGTATTAAGAGAGCCTAAGGTGCTTGAGAGAGAATAGAATTGGTGAAATTAGTGAGAAGGCCAAAAGGGAAAAATCCTATGTATTTTGGATCCTACACTTCGGCCTTGAGGTGTTGGGAAGGACTTGATGTCCAAACATTAAGTTGAAATAATAGGGAAACATACATTTGTATGTGTAAGTTACATTCATTAAAAAGAAAAGAACCCTTGCCTATTTCCTTATAGTGTTCGACCTATAGGGTATTTAGGGATATATTTTGTACATTTTATTTTAAATAAAATGTGTTGTAATAAATTGTATAAAGGTGATGAGTTTTGAAGAAAAATAGCATGATTTATGTTGAAAATTCCTAAGGGAATGGTTGATTAAATTAAAGAACACCAACGGTTATAAAGAGGTCTAGACTTGTGTATTGGCATAGGATTGGCAAAAATGCAAAGAAAGGAAAATAAGCGATAAAATGTATGCTTATGAAATAATTATGGTATTGCATCATTTTATTGATGCATTGTAAATTATTCTCTAGGTGTGCCTAGGGATTGAGAAGGATCGGAAATCTCTTGAAGCGATAAAAGTAACTTGTTCCACAAGTAAGCGTATTGGTAAAGCTTCAAGAGGTAAGCTCTATGTTTAAGGAGTCTTTTCCTGCTTGAGTGCTCCACCATGGTTAGTGAACTATGGTTGGACTGTATGACTGTGATTTAGATGCTTTGTATAGATGCATTCATATAGAGTTATTTGATAACATGATATGTTTTGCTCTGATATGACTTCTGTAATATGATTTCTGTAACAATCTCTGGCCATTGATTGTATAGTACCCGGATGTCCGCTTTGGGGTCCTCCCTCGGGACTGATGGTGTACGCCTCTGATATGTCTGGTTCCGCTTTGGGGTCCTCCCTCGGGAACACGTGCGTTGATTTCCGCTTGGGGTCCTCCCTTGGGAATGACGGCGCACATCTCTGATATGATATGGATATATGCTCTGTTCTGTTATGATATCTGTTATATGTTGTATTTGTATACTCTGTATCTGACTTTCATGCAGGAGTGAGCCAGGGGTATGGAGAATTCTCTATAAACCTGGAGCTTATTAAGATTTGTAATCTCACCCCTCTTTGGGGACATATTTTCAGGTGCCCAGATTCCCGGTGAGTCCTCACTAGGCAGGGACACGACACGTGGCTGAGGCAGTTGACAGATTGGATTTTGAGTGGCTGTAGGCTACTACCTTTTTGGAGTGTTTGATGTATTTTAGTATTTTCGCATTTGATGGATCATGATATTGATCCTTTATTGTGTATATGGCCTGTATATGTTTTGTACATGTCTGTCGCTTTGATGCATGTACATTTGGGTATTCAGGCACGTTATATGATGAGGTAGTATTCAGATATGTTTACGTGTTGGATTGCATGCTGTTAGATATAGTGGCACTGAGCCAAGTTATGCATGCGCCCATGGATGGGCATTTGATTATATTTGTATAAACTGTTTATCAGGAAATGCTTTTGTGAGGGATTGGAAAATCCCCAGTTGTCCGATTTATAGAGGAAACTCTGCCCGATTTTCGTTTACGACGAATGAGAATTTAAAAAGAAAAAGAAAAAGTTAGCTCGTATTTTCAGAAGTTAAGTCTTCCGCTGTTTTCTGTTTTATCATATGTATGTTAATTGAACCGGCTCGAGACGGGGATGTTACATTTATGGTATCAGAGCAGTTTCTCTAGGAGAGCCTGTGAAATATTGCATGAACTGTTCGGGTTGTTATATTCTTGAGTTTTCTTGGAGTACTATGATATGCATGTCTGATCACCGAGTGTGAGCGTAGCTAACTCATTCCTTTGTGTGAAATATGCAGAATTATGGTTCGCCCAAGAAGGACTTCTGATCCTCCTATTGACCCGACCGATCCAATATTAGCAGATTTGGCAAGACCCCGACTTAACCAACGGGGAAATACTTCACAGCCAGATCCGATGATAATGGCCTTAACTGAGATGCAACAAAATATGGCTGCAGCTAGGCAGCGAGAGCTTGAAGTGATGATGAAAGCAAATCAAGATCTGTTAGAGGCTAATAGGTTGGCCAATCAAGAAATGATGGCAGCAAGCAGAATGGCGAATATTGAAATGATGAGATTACTCTTGGTTGAGGTGAGGGCGGGTGGGCAAGGTCCACAGCCACAGCCTGAGCCACAACCACAACAGCCTGTTCCTCCTCCTCAAAATCCCATTGTTGTGGAGGGTGAAGGAAATCATGATGTGAATGAAGAATCTAGTCACAGGGGTGGTGTGGCACAGCCAGCCACTAATAGAGAGCAAAGAGAAAGAATGCTAAATGCCTTCCGAAAACATGCACCACCAAATTATAAAGGAGGCATTGATCCTATTGCTGCAATTCAGTGGTTAGAAGAATTGGATCGCATTTTTACTGTCATGGAGTGTGATGATCAGCAGAAATTGTTGTATGCTTCTTATATGTTGCAGAATGATGCAGCTGATTGGTGGAGAAATACCCGTCTGCCCTTGGAATGTCAGGGTTATGCTATTACCTGGTCTTTATTTGAAAGGCAATTCTTGCTGAAATACTTTCCGGCTGAAGCCCGGATAAGGAAGAAGGGTGAATTTGAAGAACTAAAGCAGGGTCAGATGTCTATTGATGAATACTTGAATAAGTTCAATAAGCTGGCCAAATACTCTCATTTCCAGAGAGCTCCACCTACAGAGGATGACTTGATTTTTAAATTTCATAGAGGATTACATGATAACATCTCTGAAAAACTTGCAGGTGACTCATTTGATACTTTTGCTGCACTTGTTAAAAAGTGTAAAAATATTCAAGAATATTACAGAAGGAAGCATAAGGACCAATCTGCTCCTAATTCTGGTCCTAAAAACACCTCTGGGAATTCTAAAGGAAAAGGGTTGCAGGTTAGACAGTCTGATGGTAAGTTCAAAAAGGCGGGAAATTCTAAGCCTGGAAATATTAAGCCTGCTTCTCTATGTGCTACATGTGGTAAAGTTCATGCAGGGGTTTGCAGAAAAGAGCAAAGACTGTGTTACAAATGTGGCCAACCTGGGCATTTTATTAGGGACTGCCCCTTTAATGGGGGACAGGTTTCTACTATTCAGGCCACTCCGGCTCCTATTGTGGTTGAGGAACCATCTCTACCTCTCCCACCTCCAGTTGCCCGAGTATATGCAGTGACTCAGCAAGAGGCTGAGAGGTCAGCTAGTTTGGTGGGAGGTATGATTTCTATTCGTGATGAAATGCTTAGTGTTTTGTTTGATTCTGGTACCACGCATTCTTTTATTGCTGATTATGTAGCTGAAGCATTTGGTCTGCATGTGAAAAAAATGAAAATTCCTATGCGTATTGTTACGGCTGTGGGAAGAGTTTTTAATGAAGACTATGTTTGTGAAAATGTGAAATTCAAGTATGAAGGCAGGGAATATTCTGCCGACTTTATTGTCTTGCACCTTGCTTCTGTGAATTTAATTCTGGGGATGGATTGGTTGTCCAAGTACTGTGTGAAGATTGACTGCTGCAGTAAAACCATTTCTGTCTCATCTCATGATGAAGAAAGGGAGTCTCCTTATTTGTCTGTACTTCAGGTGGTAAAGGCCTTGAAGGAAGGAGATTCCGGGTATGTTTTATTGGGAGGTCTGGTTGGCGTCAACAAGGAGCCAATTTCTGTTATTCCGATTGTCTCTGAGTTTGAGGATGTCTTTCCGGATGAAATTCCACACTTTCCTCCAGAGAGGGAAATTGAATTTGCAATTGACTTATTGCCTGGTGTGGGACCTATCTCTCTTGCCCCATACCGGATGTCACCTCTAGAATTATCTGAATTGAAGAAGCAGATTGAAGACTTGTCCAGTAAGAATTTTATCAGACCGAGTGTGTCTCCGTGGGGAGCACCGGTGATCTTTGTTAAGAAGAAGGATGGGTCTATGAGATTATGTACAGACTACCGGCAGTTGAACAAGGTTACTGTTAAGAATAAGTATCCTTTGCCGCGGATAGATGATTTGTTGGATCAGTTGCGGGGTGCGACTGTATTTTCTAAGATTGATCTCCGGTCCGGGTATCATCAGATCCGGGTAAAGCCGGATGACGTTCCGAAGACAGCTTTCAGGTCCTGTTATGGGCACTATGAGTATCTGGTTATTCCTTTTGGGCTTACAAATGCACCAGCCGTTTTCATGGGTTATATGAATCGGATCTTTAAAGCCTATCTGGATCAGTTTGTGGTGGTCTTTATAGATGACATACTGATATATTCAAAGAGTAAAGAAGAGCATTCTGAGCATCTAAAGGTTGTTTTGCAGATTCTGAGAGAGCATCAGTTGTATGCTAAACTATCAAAATGTGAATTCTGGCTTTCTGAGATACAATTTCTGGGCCATGTCATCTCATCTGAAGGAGTGGCAGTGGACCCGAGCAAGATTGAAGCAGTGGTAGAATGGGAACGTCCTAAAAATGTTACAGAGATCAGGAGTTTTCTTGGTTTGGCTGGATATTATAGGCGTTTTATTGAGGGATTCTCACGGATGGTTTTACCTTTGACACGGTTAACCCGTAAAGGGAACCCATTTGTGTGGACCCAAGAATGTGAAGTGAGCTTTCAAGAGTTAAAAAGGAAGTTGACTACAGCTCCGGTATTAATATTGCCGGATCCTACAAGTAAGTTTGTGGTGTATTGTGATGCTTCTAAGTTTGGGTTAGGCTGTGTGTTAATGCAGTTCCGTCAGGTGGTCGCTTATGCTTCTCGGCAGTTGAAACCGCATGAGGAGAATTATCCGACACATGATCTTGAGTTGGCAGCCGTAGTGTTCGCATTGAAAATTTGGCGACACTTTCTATACGGGGCCGATTTTATTGTCTACAGTGACCACAAAAGTTTAAAGTATCTGTTTGATCAGAAGGAGCTAAATATGAGGCAACGCCGATGGGTGGAATTTCTGAAGGATTATGATTTTGAATTGCAATATCACCCTGGTAAAGCCAATGTAGTAGCTGATGCTTTAAGCAGAAAGACGCTTGGTATGGCCAATTTGATGATTTCCGAGTATAATTTGATTGAGAAATTCAGGGATCTCCACATTCCTGTGAATATAGAAGATAGTCCGCATTTATTGACTACTACGGTAGTCCTGAATTCATTAGTTGAGCGGATTAAAGAAGCTCAATTGCTTGATGAAGAGATTCAGTCTATGAAAGAGCAGGACTTTGTGTCCACTGATAGGTTCGGTCTTAAGTTTTACAAAGATCGGATCATTGTTCCAAAAGGTCAAATGGTAGACGAGGTATTGACTGAGGGTCACATGGGTAAGTACACTATCCATCCTGGTGCTACCAAGATGTACCAAGACTTGAAACAAAATTTCTGGTGGTCGGGAATGAAGAAAGACATTGCTCTATTTGTGAGTAAGTGTTTGACATGTCAGAAAGTTAAGATTGAACATCAGAGACCTTCTGGATTACTGCAGCCCTTGGATATTCCGGAATGGAAATGGGTCAGTATTTCTATGGATTTTGTAGTGGCATTACCGAGAACTCAGGCTGGTTTTGATTCTATCTGGGTAGTTGTTGACAGATTGACAAAGTCTGCACATTTCATACCAGTTAAAACGAGTTTCTCCACAGAGCAGTTGGCTCGGATATATGTAAGAGAGATTGTGAAACTTCATGGTGTTCCTGAAAGTATTATTAGTGATCGGGACCCTAAATTTACTTCTAGACTTTGGGATGCAGTGCAACAGGCCTTCGGTACACAGTTGAGGCTGAGCACGGCTTATCATCCCCAGACTGATGGTCAGACTGAGAGGACTATTCAGACCCTGGAGGACATGTTGAGGGCTTGTGCCTTAGAGCAGGGAAATGCATGGGATAAATATCTTCCTCTGGTGGAATTTTCCTACAATAATAGTTATCATGCCAGTTTGGGCATGGCTCCCTATGAAGCTTTGTATGGCCGTAGGTGCAGGGCGCCTACTTGTTGGTCAGAAATTGGAGAGAGGCAGTTATTTGGGCCTGATATGGTCCAAGACACTACCGATCAAATTATGATGATTAAGGATCGATTGAAGAAAGCACAGAGTCGCCAAAAGAGTTATTATGATGCAAAGCATAGACCCCTTGAATTTTCAGAAGGGGATCATGTATTTATCCGTTTGTCTCCGACTACGGGTGTTGGGCGTGCTCTAGGAGTGAGGAAGTTGAGTCCTAGGTTCATTGGGCCCTACCAGATTATGAAAAGGGTCGGACCTGTGGCTTATCAGCTTGCCTTACCTCCACATCTGTCAAATTTGCATAGTGTTTTTCACATCAGTCAACTTCGAAAATACGTGCCGGATGAATCCCACATTGTACAGCCGGACAATATCGAAGTAAGAAAAGACTTGAAGTTTGTTGTGGGACCATTTAAGGTTCTAGCACGTGATGAAAAAGTGTTGAGAA